CATCATCCATCCACATCTGGATGAAGCCAGAGGGGGTCAACAGAGCATCGCGGGCTCTAAGCATACACCCTTTACTATTTTTAACAAAGGTCCAAATAATCTCATAAACACGATAGTATAAAATGGCATTGTCAATAATAAAATTGGCACATATCGAAAACATATACAGAACAACGGAATGTATGTACCTATACGAAACATTGCGATATAAACATAAACTTTACATAATAGTTTCAGGTATGCAAACAATTAAAGGACAAGAGTATAAAGGATTTTAAAGCAATAATGTAAAGCTTAATTAAAGTAAGGATTTTAGCTGAAATCGATTTCCAAAAATGATTAAATAAGTATAGGCAGAATCGACAAAATCTCGATTCTAGCAAAATTTAAGAGACACGTTTCATGAACTATTTGAATCACCAATTATGCTCCAATTTGTACAAACTAGGTGTCATTCGAAAGATGTATCAATCTAGTTTTAGATAAATCAAGTTTTGTATGAATTAGAGTTTCCAACAAGGAGTTATAAATAGTTTAATAATCAAAGGTCAGAGAACATTATCTCTATTTTGTAGAATTCATAGAGTTGATTAGAACAGATGTTTCAATAGGCATTTATGCTCCAAATCTTTCAAATCGGTTATGCACAGGAAGATTTATGATATATTTTGTATAAATCAGAGTTTCCAATAGAGAGTTATAAGCAAGAGAGTACTGAAAGTTCAGAATCGATAGTCTCTGTTTTATAGATTCCATTGGGTCAGTTGAAATAACAGTTTGGGTAGGTAATTAGACTCCAAATTTATCAATCTTAGTATCAAAAGAAAGTGCCGAGTCTATTTTCGGATGAATTTGGTTTTTGCTAAATCAATAATCGGTGCAGAAAGTTATGACTGGAACAATGCAGAAAGATCAAATCTTGGAAAATTTCAGATTCACAGTTTTATTCCTAAACGACAAAAATATCATGTTTGAAGCCAAAATCTTCCAAAATTTTTTAGTATTAAGATTGAAATCAGAGATCTAGATTACTGTGGGATGGGATTAGAACACTTGCCTTAAAAAAATATGATTTTCAAATGTAGGGAATTGATGCAAAATCTCAAGCCAAAGTAAAGCTTTTTCTTCTTCAATTCAATTCCTCTTCCCTTCTCTTCTCAAGCCTACGCTAGTTGCGGCAAGTATCCCTCATTTGTTAAGTTTTCCTTTAGTTTATCCTCTAATTACTTAGGTTTGACTAATATAAAGATTGCAAGGTGGTAAGCGTGAATGAAAGAAACTTATGTGTCATCTATAGAACAAACATAGGTGGCACTATCCTTAGGTTAGTTAATGACACATGTCCTCAATTTAAAAAAAAAACAAACTTAATATGAATCTTTCATAAATCATATCCAATTGCTTTGATTCACATTTAGGTCCCTAGCAATAAACTTTTAATATAAAATTATTTAATACAAAAGAATTATTAAATAATCCTCATATTTTCAAATAGGTCCTTACATTACAAATATGCCTTTACAAAATTTTCAAAAATGAGGGATGTTACAGGCATGACTTAGCTTATGTGGCCAAGCATGGTTCAACTCATGTGACAAGGCACGATTCAACCCATATAGTCAAGCACGACCCAACTTACGAGCCAAGCGTGGTTTAGTTCAGTGGTAAGGCTGAGCCAAACTCGTGTGTGAGGCTCAGCTCAGCTTACGAAGCTAGGCCTGTCTAACTATGCGATTAGTGTTAGACACTTCGTCATCTCTCTATCCAACCCATTGTACTTCAACCTAACCTGCTACCTGGGACAAGCATGTGCGATGCATGTAAGTCAACCAAGACTCAGGTAGGTCGGTTTGGTTTAGGCTAACATTATGCGATATAGTCTAATTTCTTCTCCCTTTATTAAATTGAGCTCGTTAATTGATTGAATCAGACAGATTTGATCGGTTCAAGCTAGTTTAGGGTGATTCTAGATCAACTTGACTCGTTCAAACCTACTTGAACTAATTGAAATCAATCAAATCTAAATTAGATTAGTATAGAGTGGTTCCAGATCGATTCTATAAGGATTTGAGATTGGTTCTGTTAGGTCCTAAATGAATGGACTTTGGTTCAAGTCAATTAAGCTATTCCAATCATAGTTCTGGTTGATAAAGAACTATTGAGAGACTAAATGTCTCATATCTTTAGGATTTGATGAATTTAAAAATTTTATCTGAAGGAATCATTTGGAAATGATTATTGATTTTTTATTTTTTTAGTTTATGATATTGATGTGATTGTTACCATGTAGTATATGTGACTATGCTATTGGTTCACATTAGAAGTATAACTTGTGAAAGAAGATACGGGCCCTTCACAGTGCGGAGCCACCAATGGACATAGTTTAGCAGATCACATACATCAAGTATGGTCCCTCATAATGTTTTATCATACTATATTTGGATGCATGCATGCTTGAATGGATGAATGTAATGAATGATCATGATTGACTATGTATCCCTGCCATGAGTAGGTAGGGCGGTTCCCTTTAAGGACTAACGGGCCTTCAGACGTGACGATTGGACGGTTCCTCCATTCACTGTTGGGAGGAATGTGTCCCCACTTTAGGTGGGTGAGGGATACCACTCCATCCATTATTGGGAGTGCAATATGAGTTTTCTTCATCCAATGTTGGGAGGAATCCATCTTGTTTAGTATGCATCTTCATTCATTGTTAGGAGAGTGCAACATCCGGTTTAGAGTATTTAAGTGTTATGTATGTCATCGAGATGTGTTGCATATGTCTGATGCATGATTTTGATTACTATATAAGAATTATCATTATTTTTTTGATATGACATGAGTCTCCTAATGATATCATTTTATATTAAATTATTGACATTTATATATGTTTCACAAATATTGAAATTATTTTTTATGATTTTTCGAAGGTTCATACTAGTATGTGTATTTATTGATGTGTTTTTATCTTATATTTATTTTCAGAGTAACCTACTACTTTGCAATAGATCTGAGGTTTAGGTGAAAAATACTTTTTCGTTACTTGTGTTCCTACCATGAAGATGTGACCCTTCTTCTAGTAAAAATAAATATTTATTGTTGGAAAGATAAGATTTTGAATTCAAAAATAAGAGACAAAAAATCTTTTGTAAATTATGAATATTAAAATAATAGTTTTCCTTTTATAAATCTGAGATGTGACATAATCATATGATTTCAGTCAACTAATCTGATTAGTTATGGAATCATATATCTAAACCATATGAGAAATAACATTTTGTCAAGGTGACAAATCTGGATATAGGTTAGTACACCTTTAGACACTTTTTTTCTCTTGTTCTTTACAGAAATAAAAAAATCCCAAGCTGGTTTTGGTCTTAGTAGTGTGAGACTGCCGGTAGATGGTCATTAAAAAATGGCTATATCTGAAAAAAGAAAAACCATATGGATGGAAGGCAGAGTTGTAGTACCAGCAGAAGTCTTAAAGATTAAATTGGGAAGAACATAATTGGTAGACTTGAGATTGAATGCCACCTGCAGGACATGTTAAACACCTCATGCATATGTAACAACCACAATAAGAGGTAGAACATTTCTTTCAAGCCCAAAGAGTTGATTGGTCTAGGAGATGGTACTATGGACCATGGAGTTTGGATATATACAACTGATATGAACCCTATCTAACCCAGCAGTGGGTTAAGATTTCGTGAACCATATCTGATCCATGTAACATTTAACGGTTTGGGTTGGAGAGTTATGTCATGTTTTTATTTGTATTTTCTTAAATAAACTCTTGTTAGATACTCATTGAGCATGTGCTTCATTGATATGCAACCGAGATGCCATGTCAAGATTTCTTAAATCAAATGTGAAACGTGAACAGAATGGCTCATCAAGAAGTTTTGGTCAGGTCAATTCGCTTTGTTGCTAAAAGATTTTAAACACTTGAGAGAAAAGGGCCCAGCCTTGTGTTGTAGACAGAACTAAGGAGTGTCAGTTCACACAGCTATTCATTTCTTCAATTATTTAGACTATGGATCTTATTAGTTTTTAGTTGCTTTGATAGAAGAAGAGTCTCTTTAAAATGATAAGATATGATTGATTGAAAGTGCACCTTTTTCTTTTGAGAAATTAGTGAAAGAAGTAACTTTTTCCCCACTGGTAAGGGACTGTATTCTGTATGGAGGCATCATAGGATGCCTAGTTCCTTTGAAATTGTTTTTATTTGTTATATAAATTTTCTGAAGTTTCTTGCTATCGTTTATGTTTTACATGCTGACTTTACAATTCTTGCATGATTTGAACTATTTAAAGCATCAACCGGGCAAGCTTGTTTGATAAGCTTTTGTCTTCTTCGTATAACATGAGTAATGAAAAAATACAGAATGATGTTTAAGGACAAAAATGTTAGATTTAGATCTTAACATGCATGGTGTGTGACATAATTCACAAGATAAAAATTAGCATCTTAATGATAGAAGCCACTTCTTTTTCATGATTATTTCTTTATCTGATATAATTTACATAGTCTTTGTTGGAGATAAGCTCACAATGGCTAGTTTATTCAATGAGGCAAACATGTAAACTACACTCGAAAAATATGGTGTGATAGTATTGTCCATTGATCAAATTTTACATGGCAGATTGTGAAATGAGACTCTTACCGGGTTGCCAGGCAGGAAGCATGATGCAGGTTCTTCAGCTTAGAACTATACTGCCATTCCTTCTTCAGATATGACTACTTTACTGAATTTAGAATAAATCTGCTTGGGACATTTTTAACATATGAGTGAGCTCCTTTTAATTTCTACTGAAAAAAAGTATAAGGATTGTTAATGGTTATAATTTCTCCATTTTTGACATTACACAAACCATAACTTCTCTGAAGGCATGTTCCAAAGGTAATGTTAGATGTGGTGCTTGGATACACTTTTAAGTTTGATCTTTTGCAGGCTGCTTATTTAGGTTCATGCATGCAATTTTTCTTAATGATTCTCTAGCCCTTGTTTCTTTCCCAGAGAACTTGCTGTTGACTGCAGATCAGAGGACAGTGAAACTTGTCGATCTTGGTTTGGCACGGGAAGAAACATTAACAGAGATGATGACAGCTGAAACAGGGACATACCGTTGGATGGCGCCAGAGGTACATTGAATTGCTTGCTTACATCTTATCATTTGATAGATAATCTAAAACAGTCTCTTCTTTGCAGTTATACAGCACTGTCACGTTAAGGCACGGCGAAAAGAAGCACTACAATCATAAGGTGGACGTGTACAGCTTTGCAATCGTATTGTGGGAGCTGCTTCATAATCGGCTTCCATTCGAAGGCATGTCCAACCTGCAAGCAGCCTATGCAGTTGCTTTCAAGGTAGTTCCGCTGCACTGTTAAATCCTGTAACTCGAGACAGTTTCTCAAACATTATTTTAGTCATGCATTGTAATTTTTTTTGCATGTTTTAGAACGTCAGGCCGAGTGCTAATGACTTACCCGAGGAACTGGCTTCGATATTAACTTCTTGTTGGAAAGAGGATCCAAATTCCAGACCCAACTTTAGTCAGATAGTTCAGATGCTTCTACATTATCTGTCCACTCTTTCACCACCGGAACATGTCAATCCTTCCCGTGCCTACAGTTCGGAGAATGTAGTTTTACCACCTGAATCTCCTGGCACAAGCTCACTGATGGCAGCTCGAGATGAAATTGGTGATACGACGACCGACGAGAATAAATGGAGGGGATTCTTCTTCTGCTTCAGCCAGTGCTTCTGATGTCCAGTCGAAGAGAAGCTTTGTGGAATTTCAGACAATTCACCTTGTCCAGTATGTTAGGAATGAACAAGAGCAATGTTAAGGTTGTTTATATGTCGAAATTACTTGATCCTCGTCCATACTTGGGGTAAATTGCTTTCTGAAATGCTGGTGGAATGACCGGAAAAGCCTCTGTTTAGGGTTTCGGGGGGATCGGAATTGTTGAATTCCATATGGTGCAAAATAAACAGGGCAAGAAGCTAGACTAATCGGGACATGTTTAGGTATTCTAGAAATGCATTATTGGTCTCTGCAATCCTTGATATTGATGTTGTTTTTCTTTCATGATACCTATGGTAGGTTGGGTTGGTTATATATAGTTCATGGGAGTAGGGCAGTTATTTGGTAATTAGTATGATCAGATAGTTTTAAACGATATTTTGCTGTAATAGCGCTTTGTTCTTAGCTTATTGAAAAGATTATGATTGGACCATTTGTTTCTTCTTCTTCTTCTTCTTCAGAACAAGAGTCATACAAAAGGGGAAAAATATATATCCACGTTTTCAGAAGTTTATATGTCAAAAAACGTCATTTAATGGTATTATTTCAGAATGGAATGATCATTACTGTGAATTCATTTTACAATCTGGAAATTTTCCTAGAAGAAAAAGATTTACTTGGCAGGCACTTCACCAACTACTAAAGCATCAATTATCGATCAGCATTTTTGATGCAGTGTCAAATGTGAGATTCTCGTGTTAATAAGTAATAATATTTGGTAAATTTTATAATAAAGAGGTATATGCAAGAGACAAACATCCATAGCTGAGAAATCAAGAAACAAATGCACGCTTGTTTTTTCTTTTCACACTTGGTTTTTCGAGTGCATGCAAATGTCTACATCAAGCGCATGATATTTGCTTTTAGTGAGCGCACACACAATCTATTCCGATCACTCGGAAAAAAGTTGGGAACCATACTTGGTGACATGTTCGCTTCATGGTGACAGGCAATGATAAGGTAAACATATCTCTCATCTGGACTATATATACAATTCAAAGCATGATTGATGAGAATGAGAGGGAAATAAAGCCTTGCGCATTCATTTATAATCTTGGACTGAGAAGCAATCATTCAGTTCAGAAAAGGACTGGCCACCAACTCACTATTCTTTCCTGCGAACCAAATTGCAGCATTATAAGAATATAGAAAGAATCAAAGAACCCTCGAGCTGTAGTGGAGATTTGTGCACTTAAAAATGCAAAGATGAGGAAAATAAGCAAAGGACCCCATGATACAGCAAATGACTTCCATGCAAAATTTTCAGGTCTGGCACATCGCCTGCTCATCATCGGGCAGGAATTTGACCTTTCACCCTTCAACGGAGGAGCCCCGGATGCAGGGTAGTGTTTTTCCTAAGAGCAAAAATAGATTGTTAGAAAATTGTTTGAAATAAAAACATGTCAATAAGCAGGTAAAGATGTTACCACCCAAGTCCTTATAAGTGAAGATTTAGGATCCTATATTTATGACCAAGAAAAACAGACAGATAAAATGATAAATATTTGGTCCATTCATTTCTTCATCTAAATAATGAAAATCAAAACAATGGCAGCCGTACCTGTAGTATTCCTAGGTGGACTTACTGCATTCTACTCCTCTGAAGCCTTTCGTAACTTTCCTCCATGATGAAGGATCTGTCCTCTTGGTTGTTTGTAACCAGCATGGCTTCTTCAGACCTGTGAACGTATACCCTGTGATGGATATCGTCCCTTCTTGCAAGCTATAACTCATGCTCCAAACACTACAAACATAAAATTCAAAGTAAAACTACTTTTAAGTTAACATTACTTGTTGGTCCAGTGTGAGAAACAGATTGTGTCCATTGGCCTCATAGGAGAATCTTTTTCAATAGGGGTGGCTGTGGTGTCTGTCTTCAGGGTTCTTGGACCAACTTTGACAGTGAACACATCACTTTCCTCATTGACAGGGTCCATCTCACTCTTTCAAGTTGTTTTATCAGCTGTTGGTAGGAAAATTTTGAAACTACTTGTTCACCTTCTATTTGATCATCCTCATGGCTGACATGGTACTGCTGCCTGACCCAATATGCTTTGCCTGTTTTGCAGCCATTAGAACTTCAATAGAGAACCACCATTTTCTTCCAGGCTTTCTGAACTCCATTCTCTAGCACATGTTTTGTGCCATCTTACACGTTCCTCAGACAAACCACATCGGATTATTCTCCATTGCTTGCACTGGCCTTATCATATGCATTTGATATTCTGTGAAAGATATTAATACTGCTTCCATCTTTCTTGGCACCTAATGTGCATATCAAAGTTAGCTGCTAAAATTTTAATATCATATAGTAAGAAATACAACAGTTGAACCTAGCTTTACAAGGGAAATTTTGGGGATGAATATAGCAAATTCCGTCATCCCCCTCCAGAGTTGAAAAAACAAAAAAACTCATAAGTGTGTGCGAATTCAGAATTTTGAGCCCAATTTTCCTGCTAAATGTTCCAACTTCCGATAGAACAACACAAGAATGATCAAAATTAACACTAGCAGGAAGTCCAGGCGAACCCAAAGCAATTAGCAAATGCATATGATAAGTCCAGGAAGTCCTGAAATGCAAGTAGCAAGAATATTCAGAAATCAACTTTGGAAAAGTAACAAGTAATATAAGACATCAAGAGGATGCCATAGTCTTGTAAGACAAGCAATTCAGTTGCAGAATGTATGCTGAGTCTCTGAGTTGAAGGCATCACCAGTCATGACTTGAACAACGGCAGATTTGTTGGAATCTAGAGAGAGGTATGGATGGATAATATGCTTCCTATCTTATTCAGCAGCTGCAGCAATCTTGAGCAACTAGTTGAATATGCTATTACCAGAGATGAAATGTCCACACCAGAGATGAAGATTTGATATCATATGGAATGATCAACTATTTGAAATACAGTCATTAGTCTTCCTGATCCCCAGCTGAATTCAGAAACTTAGAGGGACAAGCATGGATGCTATGATAAAGTTGCCCATATCAGGATCTGAGTCATGTAACATGAGATAATCTGATTATCAAGGGTAGACAAGTGCCCTTGATTGGTGTTTTTTGTAATGCAGAAAATGAGAGACATGGTTATCTATTTCTTTATAGTTGATATGATTCAATGGATGGAATCAATTAGCCCACATTTAGCAATGTCATGGAACCTATGATAATTCATAACACGTCTCGGACCAGAGCTCAAAATTTATCTACTAAGGTCAAATATGGATTGGGTCTCCTTAAGAGTTATCTAGTCTTTTTGGGGTGGACCGGTTATAGTTTAAAATACTGAGCAGGAAGCAGTGATTTAAAAAGCGCTAGACGCTAAAAGGCGCCAAGGTCCAAAAATGTCCGAGGCGCTAGGCACTCGCCCAAACAAAACAAGACACTAAAATATAAAAATATATAATATAATTAATAAATATAATTATTTAAATAAAAATATGCTATTAAATTAAGAAAATCTAATGTACAAAATCATAATGTCACATTAACAAAAAGTCTTAAAATTCAAGACAATAAAATTTTACATCAAAGTCATTCATCATAATCAATATTATTGTTATTTTTACAAAAATCATCTTCATTGAATTCGTCCTCTTCCTCTTGTCCTTTTCATCAAAATATGTTTCATACTCTATGTCTTCAATAATAGCAAGAGCCGAGCCTGATGCTTTTGTACTTATTTTTTTCTTTGTCATCTATCTTGTATATATTTGTAGTTCTCCAACACTTGAAGCTCTTGTCACATCTCCCCATGTCAATTTATCATCTTCAAATACAAGCTTGTTTTCGACATCTTACAAGTTGATACCCATTTCTCCTACCAACCACTCATTTAAATCATCAATATCTTATAATGAGATTAGATCAATTATATTTCGTAAATCATGACGAGCCTTCAAAGGTTTATTATACTTTATGTAAATAAGATCATGTAATTGTTGATGTTCCAACCGATTTCTTCTCTTTGAGTGAATCTATCATGTCATATAATTTAAAAATATATTAATATATCTATCTAAATAAATTAATTAATTAAAATAAAAATATTTAGTGATATTTATATACTCAAAGACACTCTAGTTTCGCTCACAACCCGAAGCACTACATGTCAAACTAAGTACTTTGATAACAAATTACTGCAAGTTAGGGGTGGAATTTCCAAATAGACTCCACCATTCAACTACAAAATTTATGTTATTATTAGTAATAACATACTATAGATAAAATTAATTATATCAAATTATTAATACTTGGAGACGTAGTTGTTCTGGATCGAATTGTCATTGGAATTCCAAAAAAACCTTCGAAATTTTTATATAGAGATAATTCACAAATAATCTTATCTTGCACCTCAAGGCTTGGAACTAATCTTGTAACGTACTGATATAACCCATCCAAAACTTCTGCATCAAACCCAACAGATTTAATCTTATAAAAAAAATTTAGTGTTCAAATAATATCCTGTTGCACATAAGGGATGATGAAGTTGACAATTTCATCTTTCATCAATTATTGTAAAAAATTTCTCATATTTTTCTTTATTTTCATTAAAAGACCTTTTAATCATCTTCTTTGTTTTATCCATAGCCTCATAAATATATCTTATTGTAAGCTTATTTTCATTATCTACCAACCGAAGGACTCGAACAAGAGGGTTCATTACCTTTAATATATAAACTACATGATTCCAAACGGATGACATTAAGATGATATCAATAGCTCTTTTATCTTTTGCTTCTTTTGCTCATTTGCTTGTCACTCATTTCTTAAAGGTAAACACATTTCTTATATTATGTTTGACGATGCACGCTCTGTAATGTCAAGAATGAAGTAGCAAATCGAGTGACACCATATCTCACTACTTCTCTGTTGCTTGTGAATTCTCTCATCATATTCAAAGCCCCAATATGATTATAAAGAAATCCAACAACAAAAATTGCCTTTTCTAAAGTTTTCTTGATGTCTGGGATCTTTTCAATATCTTCCAACATTAAATCAATACAATGTGCTGCACATGGAGTCCAATATAAGTGGTCTTTTTGTTTCAAGTAATTTACCTGAGATAAAGAATAACAAAAATGATAAGACTTAAAAGTTTAACATATTTAATTGAAGATAAAGTAATTAAAAATTAAAAAAATTAAAAATATGAATATTACCAACTAATACATAGTTGCTTCCATTGTCGGTTATGATTTGAACGACATTTTGTTTTCCAATTTCTTCCACATACTTATCAAGTAAATCATATATCTTGTTTTCAGATTTTACAAAAGATGAAGCATCTATTGACTTCACAAACATAGTCCCTAAAGAACAGTTAACCATAAAATTAATTATACTCCTGCGTCTCCTATCAGTCTAAGTATATGACATAATAGAGCAATCATGTGTTGCCCATGATTTTTTATGACCCTTTAGCAAGTCATTTG